CTATTTGACCTCGATGCACCTAGATCCATAAACGCCATGACCTATAGTCACACAATCCCCATAAACCAGAACCGCTCGCCAATGTTCTTTACGTAATCACATGCCGATGATGTAGACGTCACAAACACGATTAACATCACAAATTCGACTAATCATATGCAACAACACAAAACATTGACAAAATAGATAGATCTAAATGGACGACCTAAACGGAAAGGATTACGCGGATGGATCTAAATGGGGTATCGGACGGAAGTAAGCACGACGGATGTAGACGGAAATACCGTTGCGGTTGGACATAACTGATCAAGAATGATCGGACAGACCTATTCAGATTTATCTAAATGGATTGACCAACATGGGCGGAACCTGAACTATACGAATGGACGTAAACGGATGTAGTACACAGACACTCCTAAATAAACTAAACGGATGTATTTAAATGGACAGCCCTCGCGAGACAATCCTGCGCAAACTGAACATCCGCTAGGCTGAGTGTGTCCATTCTGTGTTATGTCAAGGACGTATCGTTTTGAGAATTCAGTGTATGAATCTATTTTAAAAGTAGGCTATAGAATACCCTTTATTGTAAGAAGACCTATCTGACCGATGGAAGCAGAATTTACCATTACTCCGAAAGGTCATAAGTAGGTGACTTATATGGATCTTTCTGAGCCATACAAACTACTAATCGGTGTCGACTTGACAGCCTTGTAGCAGCTTTCATGGTCATAGAAAAATACGTTCTCGTATGCAGTGCTGTCCTGACCTTTGGTAAGCTTCGATGCTTAGAATGTCAGGAGTGAACAACATACCAGGATATTGTATAACCTATAGATACAATCCTTGGCACTGTTACCAGGGAAACACAAAACAACAGCTTCTCGCAGGCCTAGGCGACATGTTCCACCATGGTAGGCTTCTAGAGAACGGCTAAATCGTTCTGTCAAGTGACGAATAGCATCCATAGGTGGGATTTAGGATGCCAACTAGTAAGAAACCCTGTCTGAAATCTCCAGCCTTCATTACTGCAGTTGTCAGAGATGATGACTTCTAAAGAATCACAAATAAACCACGAACAAACACTAAAGGCCCTTGACATTTAGCCTAGAATCATGAAGGCTACTTTGATTAGTTTGCTACTTCTATTATTTGTACTATACCCCTATTACTTCGAGCACAGACACACAGACAGACACAGACACACAAACACACTATGACAGCCTTTTGGGGCTATCGATGCCCACAAAGATTTTACGAATAATTTCTTCGTCACTGTTTGCATGCAGAAATACACTTAAAATCTAACCCCTATCATTACGGACTTAAATAGTGTGCTCCTTGACTATTACAATCAGAATGTATGTTAACCCGTCCTCAGAAATGATTTTCCTATAAAGCCAAAAACCCAAAAGAAGCCTATTACACAACAATACAACATATATTAAACTAACAACAATCTTAGTTAAAGAACAAAGCATAGGAATGGTATCATAAAAATTTAAAGCTATCCGTCAAAGCAAAAGAACCTATCATACAAAGCTAAAATAAACTGATCCTATCTAACAAAGCAAAAAAACATTATAATACGGAACTAAAAAAAAAACAACCTATGCTCCAAAGCCAAAGAACGCCATCTTAAAAAGCCAGAATAAGAACATTATCCGTACCGGAAATTTATCAGGAACCAAATTAAAAAGGTAATTTGTGGGAAAACAAAACTTTACCCGGAACTTAAGTTTAACCGGAAACAAGATTTAAAATAAAACTGTCCATTATCCAAAACCTACATTTTTAGACAGGAATTGAAGTGTAACCGAAAACGGAACAGAAATTTAACAGAAAACGGAAATTCGACCGAGATCGGAACCTAAACATGCACACAATATAACCGGAGCTGACATTTTAACCTGAAAAAAAAAGTTAATATTATTATTGTTAATTATTATTATTATTATTATTATTATTATTATTATTATTATTATTATTATTATTATTATTATTATTATTATTATTATTATTATTATTATTATTATTATTATTATTATTATTACTACTACTATTATTATTATTATTACTACTATTATTATTATCATTATTATTATTATCCTTATTATTATTAATTATTATCCAAGCAAATACCAAGTTAAAAAACCTATCCATTAAAAAAATAATAAAGTCTTAACTTATAAAGCTAAGGTTTAAACATTACTTCACTAGAAGTGCGCTAGTGAAGAGCTTGCCCTAAACGTTGTGTCGGGGTTGGGCGTGTGCAGCATATGAAAAGCGACACGTCCGGTTGAAGCGCGCACGTTTTTTAACAAGTCTACACACTGTGCTCGAGCTAGGTTAATATACCCGTTCACGGCAAGGTTTCAAGAAGACGAATACCGTAAACATAAGGTTTACAGTAATGCTTCGAGAATACGCATACCGTAAACTGAAGGTTTTGACCCCCAGGGTTCAGATAGGACGTCCCATATCTGGGCCGCTGGAATTTCACCACACTCGCCTCAACTACGTGCCTTCTGAAGGTGCGTTTATACAGTACCGTTAACACCAAAATTTCTACACGCTTGGCCGCGGCGCGATTATAAACAAGCCTACAAGACAAAACAGGTGGCCGAAATATATCTTGCCAGCGACGAGGCGGAGTACTAATTGGTATATGCTCGGACCAAATGGAGTACTGGTTCTATGCGCGGGACCCCATAGACGGTAGCCATCATACGGGGCACGGACGTCGGACCCTATTTGAAAGGTCCAACGATTGATGATGTTCGGCTATACATATTTATAAACCCAGGCGTGCCTCAAAGAGAGCATGTGTAATTCTATAGAAATGTGTAGCCTATGGAAAATTTGAACACACCAGGCTCGACTGGAGAAATCCGGTTTAAATGTGTGTAAAAATAATCGAATAGCCAGGATCGTAGTTGATCTTTCTTGGAGTCTGCAAATACCGAACAGATTTAAAAGTAAAAAATTGGCACATCACCATAGCTTATATTTCGAGGCAATTAAGTGTAGAATATACAAGTCTCTTATTAAGTAGTATTGGTATTAACTTGTATATTTATTTTTATTTATAAACTTCCTACTCCTCCGTATTAAATATATTTTGTAACGATTAAGCCGAAGGAATTTTGTTTTGTGTCGTTGCGAAAATAGATCCAAAGAAATGTGTGGGAATTACCGCAGAAGGCACGCAAAAGTATTCATTCCAATACATTTTAAATTCGACATTGTAAATAATTATTGCTAATCGTCAAATCAAACTCAAATACTACGAATCAAAATACTTGCCTGGAGGTTATAACACCGCAACTTTAATGTTATTCAGAATAAAGCAGAACTAGTCTCCCCTAACATTTTTTCGTATATTCTTGCAATTTGGATATAGAAATGATTTTATTGAATTTTTTATACATGCATTTTTAAAAATAGAGCAGAGAGTTTAGAGAGTAGAAAAGGGAAATAGCGCACCATATAGACTTAGAAAATCGAGTAGAAAAATAAATTGTGCACCTAATGAACGTAAACAATTTGTGCTGTGTTTCTTCCAGACTTTTTTCTCCGGGGGTGGGGGTGAGGGGCGGACACTGGTAAAACTAAATATTTTCTATATAAATTATTTCTTTCCTGGAGGAAACTCTGAATGAGTGTATAATAGAGCAAAAAAATAGTATTTTATAAAAAAAAAAAAAAACAACGTATAATAAAGTTTTTTAAAATTAATTAAACATCTAATTAAGTTGCAATTTTATTTCAGTGCGTTGCCATCGAATCTTGACCAATGTGAAAAGTTTTCAGGAATTCGATCCGGTAGAAGTAATACATTTTCAGAAATATCTTAGAGTAATACTTCCGTTCGCCGGAAAACCATTTTAAATGTGATATAATTCAAGGGAATAATATTTTATACCGACGTTTAAAATTTCGTCCACATAAGCGGAACTCGAGTTATATGTATTTTAGAACACAGAAATAGAGTAAAGTACACATTCCGTTTATTGGAAGTTAAAAAATTTAAAAAAAAATCGTCCAAAATTAGACATTTTTAGTGTTCTGAACAACGTGTGAAAAAAAAATTGAAAATATTTTACTTTTTTGAACAAAACTACTATTTCTACATTTGATTACATTCATTCCAAATAAGTTATTTTTTTTAGGTTTGTAAAATTTGAATGAAATCTAGTTTGTTTTCAAATGTTTAAAAAAAAGTTTAAACTTGTAGACAGATACCTCCATGGGTCTGAACTTTGGTTTGTAAAAAAATGGATTAAATCGTGTTTTTAAATATTTAAAAAGAAATTTAACAAAATGGACAAATCCCTCCATGGGTCTGAACTTTGTAAAATTGGACTGAATATAGTCTAGTGTTAAAAAATTGAATGTAATTCAAGTATAAAATCTTGAGCTTGTGCTTCGTCTAACTACCTGGAACTATGCTCAGGTTAGTCTTCAAACGGAAATAGAGTAAAGTACCACTTCCGGTTAACGGAAATCGTTCAGAATTTTAAAGAAGCATGCGCATTAAATGTAGTACTTATATGTGACATTTCGTCCATCTAACTTAAACGGTACTTAAGATATTGGCTTTTCAGAAACCGGAAGTTGAGTAAGTACTTGAGAGTTCTCTGTCCTGCTGAGGTATGGGCCGACAACCAGAGTCTTCTGTCGTGTGCCATCTTCCCAACCAGGCTCCAGGTGTACCCCATCTTTGTAGTTTCATCCTCCACCTCCCGTCGCCAGGTGCTTTTTTGGCCCACCTCTTGTGTGCTTTCTTTGAGGGTTCCACCTAATTCCCTGGCTAGTTATACTGGTTGGTGGACTGTGCCTTATGCAACCCCATCTTCTTTTCCTAATTTCTTCATCCGGGAAAGTTTTCTAGTGTATTCACATAAATTTATAAACTCAAGTATACAATTTCAGATGTTTTTTAATTTAACATCATAGTAAAAATGACATGTATAAACAAACAAGCAGGTTGATTTAATAGTTTATTATTCACCACAATGCAATTAACAAAATATTCAAACATTTGACATGACAATTACATATGTAATGTTACACCTTGCTGTAATAATCCAGTCGTATCATGTAAACAGATGCCTTAGTTCAGTTAAAAGCTGAACACCATTACGTGTGTTGGTATATATTTGTGCTTGTAAAAAAATGATTACATTATCATATCCTACATACATAGTAATATTAGCTTAATTAGTACTAAAAGCCAGTAACTCAGCTAAAAGAGGAGGTGGGAGGGGTTCAACCCTGCTGCAGTTTTTCAATATATAAATTACGCCCCTTCAAAGTGAGGCAGATCCTAGAGCCAGCCCAGATTTACTTTTTCTCATGAGTCTAGAGCACATAAAATATAATGAGAGTAATAATCACAGCACTGCCGATAGCTGCAATACTATTCTGCTGTAAAAAGATCAAACTAGAGCTCATAGTAACACATGTCACTACATAGTGTTTGTGGAATTGATAATTGTCTATTAATTTAATATTTTTAAACTAAATTTGACTATTGATTAAGTATTTTACTACTATAATTGTCTATAAATTTAGAATGTTATACTTTAATTGTCTACCTATCAAGTATTGTATTTTATAGTTTACTACAATATTATTATTTTATACTTTAACTGTCTACGAAATAAATATTTATTTTTTAATTAACTACTAGATTCTATATAAATAAAATATTTATACTTAAATTGTATACTAAATATATATTTTATACTTTAATTGTCTACTAAATATATATTTTATGTTAAAAATATCAATCAATGAAGTATTTTATACTTATAAAATACAATAACTTAAACAATTTTAATTTTTTTTTTTGGTAAAAATTTGCCACTCGTCCTTATCATCATACTCAGCCATGAAGTTATGAAACAAAATTGGGAATAAACACGCCTAAGTCATCCAACAAGCTACTCGCCACTGACACTACTTCCGCTACTATTGGCCTGGGATTTCATCTTGAGGTAAGCCTCGGCATGCCTGAGGGCTTCAGGTATCTTGTAAGCCGACTTGGTCGTGTGCTCAAACATGTGGGTGGGGTCGTTGACCGCCCCGCTGGCGATCTGGACAACGCGGGACAGCAGGTCGTAGGCAATGGAGTCCGAGACAACGGAGTCTTGTTTGTACTCTGGGTGGCGCTGGACAAAGTTGCGCATCCACCTAGCACTGGTCACCAGCTCGCCTGTGGTCAGATTAAAATAAAAAAAAACATCAGCACAGGTATTTTTACTGACATTTTTTTGTACTGTAATATTCTACGGAAATGTCATACAGTATTGTGTAATTTTTTTATCCATCAGTATTGTTAGGGTAAGCGTCAGTCTGAGATAAAAGCAAAAAAAAAAAAAAATTCTACAAATCCATGCTGGAAATTTCTTTTCGTTCTGGATTATCTATAATTTCTACAAGCTGTATTGTGAAAAAGTATGCTAGCAAACTTATATAATACAATACATTATAAGATAGACATCAATTATGAAACAAAATAATTTATCTATGAATGTAATATTAAAGATCTGTCTGGCATAACTTTGACTCTTTGAACATTTGTGCTCAAGAAATATGGGGCAGATGAAGTAGAGTTCATCAGTTTCAATGACCCCTGCATGGCGTGGTCAGCACCATGCCCAACCGCCTTTGTTTCCTAACGTGAGTCTGAAACCCATCGGAATGCATGGGCTCAGTGACATCCTACACAATCAAGCTCAGGACCCAAAATCAGGTTACCAGCCATTAGCCCTAGCACTCAACCACACCATCCCATATCTGTGACAACAAAAACAACAACCAAAAGGTCACCTGAGGCTCTCTGTGATATCAGCTTCAGGTACTGTGTGATGGTGCATTTGGTGTCCACGTCTATCTCAATGCTGTCCATGTATAAGTTGATCAGGGCCATCAGACCAGGGAAATCATCCTATGTTTCCAAGGGAGAGAATTCACCAAAATATTGCTACATATTTTTTCCTCGTTTAGTTAGTAAACATTTGTAGTGTTTTGTTCAAAGGGAGATAATGGACGGAAATATTGGTATACATTTATTTCGTAGCTTTTCCCCAAAGGGGAGAGAATTTTAAAATATTGTCTAGCTAATTTTCTCTGGTTTGTATTAATATTTTTTTTTCATGAAGGAAATGAGTATTGCATACACCTTCTTTAAATGGACTACACCAGTAAGTTTAATTATAGTTTTATTCTGAGGATTCATTTTCTAGTTTAATACTTAGTGAAATTAAATTAAGCCAAAGTATTTTCAAGAAAAAATGGTGGAGGCCCTATGCTCCATAAGGAGCAAAGAGGACTAAGTCAAGTCAAGTAAGTCAAAGTATTTTCACTCAGTGTGCTAAAAATTCCCAAAAGAAAGATGGATGCTGGAAGTTTGCATTCATTGCTATTTTTCTATTCTAATATTAGAATATTAAGTTAATTATTATTTAATTATTATTTAATTAATAAGCTCTCATTAATCATACATTAAATTAAAAAAATTTTTCTATTCTATTAGAATATTAATTTAATTATTATTTAATTAATAAGCTCGCATTAATCATACATTAAACTATAAAAATTTTCTATTCTATTAGAATATTCATTTAATTATTATTTATATTTAATAAGCTCTCATTAATCATACATTAAATTAAAATTCTTTTTTTTTTAATGAAGAAATTCTTACCTTTCCATGAAAAATTTCCTTGATGCTCATTAGTTCATACTGGTCTTCTATAGCACCACAGCCTGCATTTCCACATTGTTGGGAACATTCAGGGGGAGTTGACTCTGTACAAGGGAAATTATTTACAAAAAAAAGTGAATACAATTTTATTGAAAATGTAACATTGAATAAAAATAGGGCTTTGCGTTTTCTAAAAAAAAAAACATTTGAATCTTTGTTTTGTTTGAAGATAACTTTTGCTATAAGAAAATACAAAAACTATTTGCTTAGTACCTGTGACCACATCTTTCCTAAAGTAAAATTTATCATTTATCACAGCATCTCGCTTGAAAGCAGTTTTCATATTTTCATCCACCTAGGCAGGAAAAAAAGAGTAACCATTGAAAGCAGTTTTCATCAACATATGCAGAAGAAAAGTACAACCTTTTTAATTTGTAGATTGGGCTTCTAATCTTTAAGTCAACTAAAATTTTATAATAATTTCCATTACTAAAAATAAGTATATTTTTGATAAATTACTATGTAAACTCAATGTCTTATTGGGTTTCACAGCAGGAATGATTACAATTTTAAACAATTTTAAAAAATTGCAAAGAATACCATCAGTAAAATTGATAAATTCTTGCTCCATAACCCAAACTAACTTTACCTCTGGCTACCTGCCAAATTTCTTAACTTAAAGATTGGAATGATGAGGTTGACTTTGGAATAATCATCACCGTAACCCAAACTTACCTACCTGCTAGCCACAAGCTTAATATCTTACCTTAGAAATTGGAATAATGAAGTTCAGTTTGTAAGACAGGATGACACGGGTGAGCAGAACAATGAACACAGTGAACGCAGCGTTTTCAAAGTCTGTAAGCTGGGCCTGGTTGAGAGGGGAGGGAGGGAACAACGTTTTTAAAAAAAAATATTTGATGAAAATTTAACATATTAGAGTTCTGAACAATGGGTGAACAAAATTTGAAAACATACTTTTCTGAACAAAACTATTATTTTTACATTTGATTACATTCATTCCAAATAATTTATTTTTTTATATTTGTAAAAATTGAATGAATCTAGCTTGTTTTCAAATGATTAAAAAAAAAAAGTTAAAAATAAAAGTGTAGACAAATACCTCCATGGGTCTGAACTCAACCCGCCAGCCTATGTTGGAGTTGGGTGGTGGAGGTTTGAACCTCATTGTCTGCCAGTTGGTCGACTGGATATTCTGTAAGAAATTTGTTCTCTAAATATTATTTTTTTGTTCCAGCAATATAAACATCTTGAACTTTCAAGACCACAGTGATTGGTATACAAGAAAACAGTAACTTAATAAATAACATAAATGGTTAGTAAACTATTATTGTTTACAATATCCCAAAATTATTAAGATTTGTTCAGCACTGATATTTATAGTTAAATAAGAAATTCTATTTCCAGAGGCACACAGAATTTGGGATACAAATTCAAAATAATGCACATGGTATACAGTGACATCTGATTTTACATCAGTCCATTCCAGACTTTTTCCAGACATTGTCACATATAGTTAAAAGAATGTAATCACACATAAGCTATAAGTAAAAGTGTTTTAGTATTTTAAAAAATGAAAAATAAAGTTCTATGTACATTTTAAATTTTAAAAAGTAAACTGGGTAAAAAAAGCTATAAGCAAAAGTGTTTTAGTATTATAAAAATAAACTGCTTTATCACTGAATTGCTCAAATTTTAATAATATTTACAACAACTACTATGTAAATTTTAAATTTGAAAGAGTAAACAGGGTAAAAATACTATGGAGGTATAGCTGTAACATTTCAGAATTTTCTATGAAGAAACAATTACATTTTGAGAATTTTGCTAATTTAACATTAAAAACAATCCAAAAAGTACACATTTTCCTTAATTTCCAGGGAGTGGATAAACTTTGGCAAAACTGACCTCAAAATGATCTGTATCGTTGTCATCATCAAGGTCCAGTTTCTCAGCAAACACAGACACTGGATCTCTTATAAATAGGTGGGCTATATGTCTAGCCAATAAGTCATCAACCCCTGTAAAATACAGAAATAAGTATAAATAAAGTAATAGGTTGGCTTTATGTCTGGCTAATAGATCATCAAGAGATCAAGTGGGCTAAATGTAATTGCCACTGATTTGATAACCCAATCCTGGTGACACTGAACAAATCAGACATGCAAATCTTTACTCACAATAATATTTTGTTAAAGATTGCATCCATCACATTTAAACATGATTAAACATTACCTCCCATGCGTATGGAATCTCTACATAAAGAGAGACAACTCTGAAAGTCAGCTTCCCTACCAATGCTACATACTAGTAAAGAGAGACAACTCAATAAATGCTTACCTCCCTGGATGAGCTCATCACATAAATCAGTATCAAGAATAAGAGGTATATCATTGTAGCAGCGTCCTAAAGGTGAAATATAACTATCTATAGAGTCGTAGCGTGACTTTGGTATTCTATAGCGGTCCTCCTTCAGCGGCTGGAAAAAAATTATTAAAATAATAATAAAAATAATTATCATAGTAATTTAAAGGTGAGAAAATATGAAGTTGGTGAAACACTTGTTTAAAAACAAAGAAATGTTCAATACAAGTGGTATCATATGTGTCTAAAAATCATTAATTTAACATGTAATCTAAGAAAAAAAAACAGAGACGCAAACATACGTAACAAAATTTGAAAAGAATTGTGATATAGGACCTATGTGAGCCTATTCACCAACTGAAGACTTGCCTCTAAGCCCCTCTCCTCCTTTGTCCTGTCATCCACTGATGCAGCAATGACAGGCCACCTTGTGTCTATGTCAGATAAATAGCCTCGATAAATAGGAGAACTGGCGCTCAAAGCAAGCTGCGCAAGACAGGTAGTTCATAATTACATTATAAACACTGATGTTGTACATCAATATGTAATAAATATTTAACAAATATAATATGTAATAATTATTTAACAAATATAATATGTCATTTTGTAATAAATGTTTAACAAATATAATAAGTAATAATTTATTTAACAGATATTAGATGTAATAATAATTTAACAAATGTAATAAATAGGTAATAAACATTAAACAAATGGAACATGCAACAAATAAAAATACAGATACTTTGGTGACTATTCTACTTTTTTGATGGTTCTTCTACTTCTTTATCCCTGACCCTAACATTAACAGCAAGACTAGTGGGCAAAAAACTTGATATGACATTGCGTTTCATTGGTCTTAATATATTGGGCAAAAAATTTGATATGACATTAAATTTCATTGGTCTTAATATATTGGGCAAAAAACTTGATATGTTGTATTTCATTGGTATTAATATATTGGGCAAAAAATTTGAGATGACATTAAATTTCATTGGTCTTAATATATTAGGCAAAAAACTTGATATGAAACTGAATTTCATTGGACTTAATAAATTATATTTGTATACTGACGCAAAATTTTTTTGGTGGATCTTAGGACTACTTGCAATAGGCATAATAAATGAACTTTTAAGGTGGTAAGACTAGTATAAGAAAGCTTAGATTTAAAAAAAAAAATTAACTCAAAAGCATAGTAAAAATGATGTTCCGCATATGCATATCGCTAATAAAGCAAGCCAACAGTTAAAAACAAACAAACAAGCTAGCTGAAGTACTGACCATGATTGGACACATGCCAGCCAGCTGATCATACAGGGTCTTGGCCTCGTCAATGTTGCAGGCCTGGAAGGTGACCTGCAGACAACAGTTGCCCATCCCAAAGCCCATACAGTCCATGTAGATGTGGTCAGGCTTGGCTGCTTCAGCACTGGAGCCATCGTCACCCAAGGGAGAGAAATCTTCCACAAATGGGGACTTTGTGTTGACGTCTTTAAAAACTGGGATTGGATTTAATAAGACTCAATTTAAAAATTTTATCACCCAAGGGAGAGAAATCTTCAACAAATGGGGACTTGGTGTTGACGTCTTTAAAAACTGGGATTGGATTTAATAGGACTCAATTTAAAAATTTCATCACCCAAGGGAGAGAAATCTTCAACAAATGGGGACTTGGTGTTGACGTCTTTAAAAACTGGGATTAGATAAAAAAGTGTCTCAATTTTAAAATTTCATCACCCAAGGGAGAGATATCTTCGACAAATGGTGACTTGATGTTGACGTCTTTAAAAACTGGGATTGGATTTTAAAATATGACTGAATATTAAAAATTTGTGATGAATTTGAGAATTTATTTATGTCAGAATAGGGTTGGTAGTCTTGCAAAAGCCTCTTAAAAAACTGGGATTGGAAGAAAAGTTGGACTAAATTTAATCTTTAATGAAAACAATGTGGCAAATTTATCACAGTCGGTACATTGTGAGGTCTATTTCATTTAAGATAGTAGACTTGCAATTTTAGACAATTACATCATTTGTAATTATTGGTCCTTAAATTGTTATGTTACTCATTTTTCAATCCACACTTATTAAAACATGTCCCTTATTCTGAGGTTTAAGATTATGTTATCAAATCATTAACCCCTCCTCCGACAAAAAAAAAAAAAAACTGCAGCAGGAAATTCCCCCAACCCCATTGGTCCTTTAGAGATATAGAGATACAGAAAGGGACAGATTAAGGATGAGTTCAGTAAAAGGTTAGTAAAAGGGTTAGGGACCAGAATACAGAGATGGATAGTGAAATGGATAAGGACAGGAGTAATGTTTTCTAAAGGGGTGGGGGGGGGGGGGAGATGAGAGGGAGATGGTTAAGTCACAGTAGGTGTTTCATAAAAAATGTAACACAAACACCTCTGTACTAGTTTATCCACCATGTTAACATCACAACTTACTTGGGACGTTGATGGCCACCTTTTCTTTTCTTCTGTTTCTGATGTTCCGTGTCAGAGTTCTATATATAGACAAGGGTATTATTTCAAGTTAAACTTTTGAAAGTTTCACATAAAGTTCTATAAATAGACAAGAGTAACATTTTCCTTCATGTTAAATGAAAATTTCACATTTTTTAAAGCAGGAATTACTATTAGAAATGTGACTATTTGCATTCAAATAAATAACAAAATTTGACCTTTTGAAGTAAATAATGAAATGAGAAATTTTAAATTGATAATTGAGCTTTCAACTTTTTCACTTTCATGGTGAATATGATATACATTCAAGTTCTGATCAAAATGCATACTGAATGGTAATTCATGTAAGTAGCTTTAGTACTATTTGAAAATGATAATGTAAAAAAAAACAACAAAATGAATATGACACATTCCAAACTGAACTGAGCTTTTTCTGTTAATCAGAACTTTGAGGCTTTGAAAACTATAAAGAAGAACAATCAGTACTAGCATGATTAATCAAATCTAAAAATAGAAGCAGTACTTACTTAAACCTGACATGACCTTGATTGATTGCATCATCAGGGAAAAACAGCGACCTAGAAACCCCATTGACGGGGTCAGTCTTGGACACAGGCCAGGTGAAGGAACCACAGCCAAGTCTGCGAGATATTTATAGAACAATACAAATGTTAGCACCAACATATAGACCACAAGATATTTATAGAACAACACAACTGTTAGCACCAACATATAGACCACAAGATATTTATAGAACAACACAACTGTTAGCACCAACATATAGAACACAAGATATTTATAGAACAACACAACTGTTAGCACCAACATATAGACCACAAGATATTTATAGAACAACACAACTGTTAGCACCAACATATAGAACACAAGATATTTATAGAACAACACAACTGTTAGCACCAACATACAGACCACAAGATATTTATAGAACAACACAAATGTTAGCACCAACATATAGACCACAAGATATTTATAGAACAACACAACTGTTAGCACCAACATATAGAAACTAGATATTTATAGAACAACACAAATGTTAGCACCAACATATAGACCACAAGATATTTATAGAACAACACAAATGTTAGCACCAACATATAGACCACAAGATATTTATAGAACAATACAAATGTTAGCACCAACATAGAGACCACAAGATATTTATAGAACAATACAAATGTTAGCACCAACATAGAGACCACAAGATATTTATAGAACAATACAAATGTTAGCACCAACATATAGACCACAAGATATTTATAGAACAACACAACTGTTAGCACCAACATATAGACCACAAGATATTTATAGAACAACACAACTGTTAGCACCAACATATAGACCACAAGATATTTATAGAACAACACAACTGTTAGCACCAACATATAGAACACAAGATATTTATAGAACAACACAACTGTTAGCACCAACATACAGACCACAAGATATTTATAGAACAACACAAATGTTAGCACCAACATATAGACCACAAGATATTTATAGAACAACACAACTGTTAGCACCAACATATAGAAACTAGATATTTATAGAACAACACAAATGTTAGCACCAACATATAGACCACAAGATATTTATAGAACAACACAAATGTTAGCACCAACATATAGACCACAAGATATTTATAGAACAATACAAATGTTAGCACCAACATAGAGACCACAAGATATTTATAGAACAATACAAATGTTAGCACCAACATAGAGACCACAAGATATTTATAGAACAATACAAATGTTAGCACCAACATATAGACCACAAGATATTTATAGAACAACACAACTGTTAGCACCAACATATAGACCACAAGATGTTTATAGAACAACACAACTGTTAGCACCAACATATAGAAACAAGATATTTATAGAACAACACAACTGTTAGCACCAACCAGAGGCGTATCCAGGTTTTCGTTGTAGGGGGAGCGAAAAGAGCAAAAAAAGGCGCCGAATTTTTAACACGTTCTATATACGTGTATTATATATATATATATATATATATATATATATATATATATATATATATATATATATATATATATATATATATATATATATATATATATATATATATATATATATATATATATATATATATATATATATATATATATATATATATATATATATATATATATATATATATATATATATATATATATATATATATATATATATATATATATATATATATATATAGTTACTAGCTGTATGTCATTACTTTGCTATGATGTAAAATAAATTGAAACTAGCGCTCGAAAGAAGAAAAGACACACATGTAGGCCGACAAAACAAAAATTGTATCAATCTAAACAATATATATATATATATATATATATATATATATATATATATATATATATATATATATATATATATATATATATATATATATATATATATATATATATATATATATATATATATATATATATATATATATACACTACAACCAAAAACAATGAACGTAACACGATCTGTTTTGTAATTCTTGTAAAAAAAAATTACTTACATAATAATTCCTGGGAAATTATTTAAGACAAGTGAAATAGGGGAAATAATCACTCTCTTAATATAAATATGTATATATCTACACATTTAATTATAAATGTCAAAACAAATAAATAATTACTTAAGAATATAATGAAATTCTATAATACTATTCGTGTTTACAAAATGTTTTTGTCTATAATCAGAATTCAATATATCGTCATCATAAATGCTAAAGTATTACAGCATAATAAAAGTTTTTAAAATCAGAGTTGGTATAAAAACACGCTTTTCGATGTGATAGAAAAACATTCGGAATAATAACCTACGTTTAACTAAATATTGGTCTTTTAATTCAGATCATATTTTTAATTAACTACTGTTTCATTTTTTAACATAGTGATAGACATGGGTTAGATCATTGTATTGATCGAACACCTTTTTACTGGTAATTGCAAAAAAAATATTCACAGAGTTTTACGTTTAAAAAGCTAATTTTCTGGCGGCATGGTACTTTGGTACATCATTACGCGTTTTTCTACATGTACTTAACAGATCAGTTCGGGGTGGGTTGGGGGGGGGGTTCAACTTCATTCACCACTGTCCGGTCACTTTAGGTCAATTATCCAACCCATGTTATACCTTGATGTGACATTAATGTCGCTCTACACAATTGTGGTGGTGAGGTGTGTGTGTGGGGAGGGGGGGGGGAGAGTTAACCAACTCAGAGTGAATATAGCGTCAGTTTTTAGATGACTGTTCTTAACATACATATATATTACACAAATATATAGAGGTTTTTTAAACATTGCAATGCATGGTAATGGTTATTTTTAGAATGGCAAACTGATGCAGCTGTTAATACGTGTTGTAAACGTTGACACTACTACTTGGACAATTATGCTTAATTGCTGCATGAAACGAAATCTTGTGATTTACGTAGATGTGCCAACCAAAAATATTTTTTTAACAAATATCATTGTTTAAAACTTTGAGTTTAAAAAGTTTCCAAAAAGGCGCCACTTTGATGAAAATGGCCAGAGGGGGAGCGGCCGCTCCCCCTGCTCCCCCCCTGCGTACGCTACTGGCACCAACATATAGACCACAAGATATTTATAGAACAATACAAATGTTAGCACCAACATATAGAAACTAGATATTTATAGAACAACACAACTGTTAGCACCAACATATAGAAGCAAGATATTTATAGAACAACACAACTGTTAGCACCAACATATAGAAGCAAGATATTTATAGAACAACACAACTGTTAGCACCAACATATAGAAGCAAGATATTTATAGAACAACACAACTGTTAGCACCAACATATAGACCACAAGATATTTATAGAACAACACAACTGTTAGCACCAACATACAGACCACAAGATATTTATAGAACAACACAACTGTTAGCATCAACATACAGACCACAAGATATTTATAGAACAACACAACTGTTAGCACCAACATACAGACCACAAGATATTTATAGAACAACACAACTGTTAGCACCAACATGGCAACATATAGAAACAAGATATTTATAGAACAACACAACTGTTAGCACCAACATATAGACCACAAGATATTTATAGAACAACACAACTGTTAGCACCAACATACCAACATATAGAAACAAGATATTTATAGAACAACACAACTGTTAGCACCAACATATAGACCACAAGATATTTATAGAACAACACAACTGTTAGCACCAACATATAGACCACAAGATATTTATAGAACAACACAACTGTTAGCACCAACATATAGAACACAAGATATTTATAGAACAACACAACTGTTAGCACCAACATATAGACCACAAGATATTTATAGAACAACACAACTGTTAGCACCAACATATAGAACACAAGATATTTATAGAACAACACAACTGTTAGCACCAACATACAGACCACAAGATATTTATAGAACAACACAAATGTTAGCACCAACATATAGACCACAAGATATTTATAGAACAACACAACTGTTAGCACCAACATATAGAAACTAGATATTTATAGAACAACACAAATGTTAGCACCAACATATAGACCACAAGATATTTATAGAACAACACAAATGTTAGCACCAACATATAGACCACAAGATATTTATAGAACAATACAAATGTTAGCACCAACATAGAGACCACAAGATATTTATAGAACAATACAAATGTTAGCACCAACATAGAGACCACAAGATATTTATAGAACAATACAAATGTTAGCACCAACATATAGACCACAAGATATTTATAGAACAACACAACTGTTAGCACCAACATATAGACCACAAGATGTTTATAGAACAACACAACTGTTAGCACCAACATATAGAAACAAGATATTTATAGAACAACACAACTGTTAGCACCAACATATAGACCACAAGATATTTATAGAACAATACAAATGTTAGCACCAACATATAGAAACTAGATATTTATAAAACAACACAACTGTTAGCACCAACATATAGAAGCAAGATATTTATAGAACAACACAACTGTTAGCACCAACATATAGAAGCAAGATATTTATAGAACAACACAACTGTTAGCACCAACATATAGAAGCAAGATATTTATAGAACAACACAACTGTTAGCACCAACATATAGACCACAAGATATTTATAGAACAACACAACTGTTAGCACCAACATACAGACCACAAGATATTTATAGAACAACACAACTGTTAGCATCAACATACAGACCACAAGATATTTATAGAACAACACAACTGTTAGCACCAACATACAGACCACAAGATATTTATAGAACAACACAACTGTTAGCACCAACATGCCAACATATAGAAACAAGATATTTATAGAACAACACAACTGTTAGCACCAACATATAGACCACAAGATATTTATAGAACAACACAACTGTTAGCACCAACATACCAACATATAGAAACAAGATATTTAGAGAACAACACAACTGTTAGCACTAACATATAGACCACAAGATATTTATAGAACAACACAACTGTTAGCACCAACATATAGACCACAAGATATTTATAGAACAACACAACTGTTAGCACCAACATACCAACATATAGAAACAAGATATTTAGAGAACAACACAACTGTTAGCACTAACATATAGACCACAAGATATTTATAGAACAACACAACTGTTAGCACCAACATATAGACCACAAGATATTTATAGAACAACACAACTGTTAGCATCAACATATAGACCACAAGATATTTATAGAACAACACAACTGTTAGCACCAACATACCAACATATAGAAACAAGATATTTAGAGAACAACACAACTGTTAGCACTAACATATAGACCACAAGATATTTATAGAACAACACAACTGTTAGCACCAACATATAGACCACAAGATATTTATAGAACAACACAAATGTTAGCACCAAGATACCAACATAAAAAACAAACAGAAACAACATATCAATAAGCAGCATAAATATCAACAAATAAAAACAATAAGAAGATATTTTAAAAACATGACAAGTGAACCCCCCCCCCCCCCCCCCCACCACCACTATTAGGTATTGTAATGTGTTTTAAGTAAACAGGTACATTTCAGAGAAGAGTCATTGTTTAATGATTGAAAGTCTTGAAATCTTGTATTAACTGAAAGTATAAAAGCTACTCGTGTCAACTGATTTCTTAAACCATTCAACCAGCAAAAAAAAAATAACATGAAGGAAATCAAATGAAGTGTTTCAAAGAATTGTATTCAAATCCAACATCAATGGAATAAAATAATAAACCATATCTAGAAGCTATATGTTATATAACATATGTATGTATAAGAATTGTTTTAATTAACAAATCTATTTTTTTTATACTAATGCTTGACCTACAAGCCTAATTACAGATAAAGGTCAGGTGTTGTTAATTTCTTATCTTTGGGTTCAACCTTATGGCATATAGTACAAGAGTACAAATCCAGTTTCTTGTGCACTAAATCAGATTCATACATGTAGGTCTATTTAGTGCTATATCCTTTTAGGGCAGTGGTTCTAAAAATCTTTTTTGGGCCTACCGATCCCCACCAGCTTCTGATGCCCATTCACCAAACCATTCTTAATAGGAATAAAATTTGGTTTTTGAAGTAGGTGTTTGTCTTAACCTCCACTAATCCCCTTAGACTGATTCACCGAACCCTTAGGGTTCAAACAAACTCAGGTTTAACCACTGTTTTAGAGGTTTCAGCCCAACTTGTTTTTACTACACTTAAACAGTACTACTCTTAATCTTATTTTGTTTATCCCATTTCATTAGTTGACCAATTTTGATTCCATTACAGGTTAAGAAATGAATAGTGCAGAGGAAAATACATAACCATGTAGAAGTTTGCAAGTTAAACCTTTACAATCTTGCACACTTGAGATTTTCCTAATGTATTAACCCAGGGAATGCAGTGAGTGAGTAGTGACTCACCTAAGGAATGATATGAGAGTGTGGTAACTCACCTAGGGAATGCAGTGAGAGAGAGTGGTGCCTCATCATCCTGTAGTTCTGCCTGTATCTCCTGTCGCCTGTTTGATGGAGGAACATAACACAAAAACGTTAGAAGTCATCCTAGCTAACTAATTAACTAACTCCCATATACTGTCTAAAGGTAAAACTGGGCAGTTGCACCAAAGGATGGAGTGGTACAGTAAGTACAGGACTGTTAACCCACTAGCCTTAAGATAAATCTGTATTATGTCCCTGACTTCATCAGCACTGATGTGTACCTGACTTTTGTTTGGAAAGGCTGCACATGCCATAGTTTTTTTGAGGTCAGAGAAACATGGAACTATTCTTATACTGCCCAATTAACCAGACGTAGTCAAGGGAAAATTTAACTTTTTTTATACTACTAGGTTGTTACATCTTGTACCAACAGTTTAGAATCTGCCCTCAAAACACCCCGCTCAGAAAAAAATTGTATGGTTAAGCTTTTAAATTTGGAGACAACTATGCAGTTCGTCTACCATATTGTTTGTCTTGTTGCATAATTCCTCCAAATATAGACAGATTAAGCACAAAGTTGTTACATTTCTCAATCAACTGGTTACGTTACCTCAAAGACATGTTGGCCTCTACTATGTTAAAATGAGCTATCATCCCTCCGTAAGGCGCTCCAGGTGTCCCCTCCACCATGTACTCGGCATACTCAGGGTGCCAAGAAGTGGCAGCAGAAGTGCTGGAGGAGTTCAAAAACAAACAAATTTTTTATTTATATCACGCAACAAAAACCTGACCAGTCTACACATTCAACTATCCAGTACCAAAAGCTGGTTGTATTGACTCACTGAATCTGTTTTGTCTGTTGTTTTTCTTCCAGTCCTTTCAACACATCTTGCGCCCTGAGAGCTACATACACTTTTTTGTTGACATGATCAAATTTCACCAGCTGGTACTCCACCTGACAGTATTCAAATAAAATAAAATCAAAGCTGGATATGGCTCAATACAGGACAAACTGGCAACACAAGAATAAACTGGCAACATGACAAAATCTGGCAACACAAGAGCAAACTAGTAACAAAGGACAAACTGGCAACATATGTCAAATTACCAACACATACAAAAACTGACAACACAGGACAAACTGACAATATGACATAACCTGGCAACAAACAAATAAACAGATTAGCAAACAGAAACCTAACTAGGAAAAAATAAAAAATAAAAACGCCAAGTATCAAACTGATTCAAACTAGCAATTATTCACTTATTCAATCAATACATCCCAAACACGAAATTTGCCCCACTAATTTTATCCTAATCTTTACAAATAATAAAACCAACCAACCTCATCTCCCCAGTACAAGACATCTTTTTTCCTTGACCTAAGCTTGTTGTACTGGGCAAGGAACTGTTTGATGCCATGCCTCCTGACATGATCTGCATGTTTTTTTGTCTCCTCCCAGGTCAGGGGGGTCCCTTCTGTCAACAGTCCCATACTTGCCTCTTTAGAGAATGTAACCTCACTTTACAACTGTCCACAAATCACACAAGTATATCATCAACTCTTAACATCAAACTAAACCACGAGGTCTTGCTTGATACAGTTTTTTTTACAGATTCTAAAAATTGCTGTTTCTGGGGGAAAAAAAAATTATTTTCCTATTTGACACACTAGATTACAATATTATATCTGAAAAAAAAAAGTTATTTTCCTATATTTGACACACTAGATTACAATATTATACACTGTATAGCTCCTGACATTTCAAACATCATAGTATCATACATGATGTGACTCCTTACATTCCAAACACATCATGGTATGACTCCTGACATTCCAAACACATCATAGTATCATACATGATGTGACTCCTTACATTCCAAACACATCATTATAGTATCATACATCTTGTGTTGGCCATTTGTTAGACACACCAACAGTTGCTAATGAAGCAATTAGTAAAACACAAGGCCATCTCTTCCAATCAAGCCGTGGAGATTAACGAATTACTCTGCTTGTGGTTAGACATTCCAATGACACAAGTAAAACAGTGATAGCCAGTGGCTATGAGCACAAACTACATACAATTCTTGTGTACTTTTTTAAAAACTGTGTAAGGTGTCCCTAAATATAAGATTAATACAAAGAAATTTTCCCTGACAAAAAAGGAATTCTAAATGAGTAAATTGTTATTTATGTAATAGGACATGAACAATATGTAGATACTATCAAGAGGTTTATCTTACAAAACAGAAGTTCCTCATAAGTACCCAATACTTCTCTACCAGCAATATGACTAGAATACTAGGAAGCCTCAACCCAGAGATTAAACCATAGACAGAGGACAAAGAAAGTACCTTTTAAGTTGCTCATAAGTACCCACTTATACTCCAAGAACAACCAAAACATGACAGGACTACATAGAGCTAATGTTAAGTGCTTGCTGTTTACTTGCCCTGTATACTAATCCGGTATGTATAATCCTCTAAATGATGGCTCTCTTCTGTTAGCCTCCTTGTCTTATATTACTTAAAAGCCTTCTTAGTTTCAGAACAGGCCTAAAGCTTGTTTCTTCTGTGACTAGTAGTATGATGCTTACAAACCTAATACAAACCACAACCCCAAACCAAACAGATGGGTATATAGTATTATTTAAGGTAATGACTACAATACAAGTGTGTGGGTATACAATGTATCGAAGTGTTAGCTTAAATCTTTCTCAAATTTTTTATACAACTAATTTGATTATGTTTAAAAGAATTTAACTTAATGACAAAATTGATGACAGTAAATATGTTGTAACAGCATCATAAATATCAGTAGAGCGGAAATTATAACAAAGTAGAAAGGATAGGGTAAAAGATAAATACCATATACGTATATGGTCCAGATAAGTCTAGCCACTAATGTAAAAAGTGCAAGTGCGAAAAGTTAAGCTCAGACACTTTTTGCCAGCTCAAATTTAAAGGAGCACACAACCTTGAGGGTTAGGGTTAAAGGTACCAAAATACTGGCCTTTTCATGCAAATTATTTATGGTATGACCCAATTTCACCCTCTTCAAACAACCCAAAAGTACAAGATTTACTTTTATATCCTATTTTAAAAAATCTTTTTTGAGTGGTGGGGTAAACTTTTAGGCAGGGCTTATCTGGAAAAGATCCCAGAAGATAATTAATTGCTACCAGGAGGGTAAAGAGTCCTAAAGAGTCACTACTAGAGCAGTGGTTTTTAAAGTGGGTTAGATCGAACCCATGAGGTTTGATGAGTCAGTCTCAGGGGTTAAATAGAGGTAAAGATACACACCCAACTCATTTGATTAGCAAACAGATTTTTTTTGGTATGGACTACTAAGAAGGGTACGGTGAATGTGTATATATAACATTGGTGAGGGTTCAGTACCACCAACAAGGTCAAAAGCCATTGCACTGGAGACTAGATCAGAGACCTGAAAATCTAAGATCTATGTCTATTAGCCTGTCAATAGATCTATAACTCAGCATAGTTGATTGAGAAAATTCTGAAGAGGATTTTCTTTTTCTTTAAGATAAATTTTAGCCACCAAAAACCCTATTACTTGTAGTAACATATTACTAAGGAGCTACATATTTTTAGAAGTATTAAAGTAGGGGCCTACTTTTATATAGGGCTATTTTTTCTAGGTATATCTATTTACTATATTCTATGTAGATTAGATAAATATAGTAAGCCTATATAAAATAATAGGTATAGAATTTGATCTAGTATTAAGTACTTGTAAGAAAAATAGCTACTTGATCTTAATCTTAGAGTCCCCTATTGTATAATTCAGTATACTATTATAAAAATCTGGAATAATATACTTCTTCTACTATTACTTTTATCAGGATAGTGGTAAAGCGCTGTAAACTGCTACCCTGAAAGTCTCGAGTTCGAATCTGGGTTAAAGTCAATGGAATGTCCCCAAGCCCAACCCACTATGGTGGGTACGAAATCACATTAATTAGGCATTAGGGAATGTTAAGGTGGTTGGCATAGAGCTGACCACACTAGGATCTCTACATCATCTGCACAATAAATTACTTACTAGTCTAGGACTACAGAAGAATATTTACTTTTTTTAGTAATACTTTTGGCCTTTAGCCTTAGGCCTATAAGTATAAATAATACAAATCAATCTAGAAATTTAGATCTAGCTCTAGATTCTAGTACCTATAGAAGACTGAACTGCAAAGCCAACTTCCATCTCAAATCTAGACCTAGATCTAGTCTACTGTTGTTTTTAATGTAGGCTTGGCCTAGGCAAGATATTCAAACTATCTAAATCTATGTGACTAGATCTAGATCTCTAGTCTTAGTTTTAGTGACTAAATTTTAGTCTAGAGCAGGGGTCTCCAAACTACGGCCTGCGGGCCGGATGCGGCCCGCGATGTCCTCTCATCCGGCCCGCGGAGATCTTTTTGTCCACAAAAAAAACGTTTGTTGGTGATGGCTGAGGAACTTGGCCCAGAAAAATCAAATACATGCCCCTGGCCCCCGAACTGAAATTTGATAGTTAATGCGGCCCTCTGACTGAAAAGTTTGGAGACCCCTGGTCTAGAGTACTCTAGAGTCTAGATCTATATCAGCATATCTAGATCTAGAATCTAGAACTATAATCTAGATCATTAGATTATAGATTAGATTAGACTAGATCTAGACTCTAGATCAGGGGTTCCCAACCTTTTTTTACTCACATTCTAAAATATCGGTAGGGTGGCGGGCACCACCTATTTTAAATCGACAAACTCCATCCAGAGGTGTAGCGACCCTTCCCGTCACCCTGGTACAAAACTTTTGATTTGCATCCCCCCCCCTCAAATTTTCGTTCAATTTGTCCCCCCCCCCTTCCTCAAACTTTCAATTTCCATCCCCTTCAACCTTTCAATAATGTTTATGAAAAAAATTCTGTCTCTGTCGAATCGTTCGGCGGGCGCCGTGGCGCCCGCGTGCACGGGGTTGGGAACCCCTGCTCTAGATCCTAGACCTAGATCTCTCTCTACTTCTAGTTCTAGTGTCGGTTTTTTTAAAGACTTCACGACAACTAGACCTAGATCTAGATCTAGATTCTACTACAGTATGATTCAGTATCACATACAGTAGTAACTAGATCTAAATCTAGATCTAGATAATCTAGATCGATCTAAACAGTAGGCTATAGTAAACTAGATTTTAGATTAACTAAAATAACTAGAGTCTAGAATCTAGAATAAAGTCTAGACTCTAGATCTAGATCTAGATAGATTCTCTAGGCTAGTCTAAAATCCTAAATTCTACGAAGTACGAAGTTATGTAACTTGCGTTTTCAGGATATCTAATCTAGAATCTAGATTCTAGACCAAATTAATTCTTAAAATAGCCGCATACCGTCCATACAGCTAATGTGATTTATGAAAATAACTTACCTTTTTGCCTGGGCTTAAAGAAATCTATGAGACAGTCAATTAGAAATCCAAATCTTATCTCTATGGTCTTGTTAAAATAATTCTAAGCTTTCAATCATACGCTTTTGTTGACATTTAGTACGCATGCGCAGGGAGTGTTCTATATTTCTCATTATCAGCATGACACAGCTGAATATAATTCACTGTTTTGACAAGTCATGTAAGTATTGACGAAACAAAAATGTCTCAAAGGGGGGAGGGGGAGAATAAGTAGTAAAAGAGGAGTAAAAGCTGATGAACAGTGTAGATTGTACCTCTGCACCAACCAACTATGACTTCTCCTTTGATTAGTGATGCGGTAAAGCATGTCGAAGCTATGCTTAAGTGCCCCTGAAAACAGATGAAAACATTAGTGACACGAATTGGTACATTTAATTTTTAAAGTACGCTCGGCGGGGAAACGTCTTTTAATGTTCCGAACAGAAAAGTAAGCCAAATGGAGTGCACACAGAAAATAAAAAATGTGTAGGTCTAACTAATGTCTGATAGGTGTAGAGTATTTTGTGAATAGGCCTACTATGTATGTAGCTAGACCAACATGTGCTTATCTAAACTTAATCTAGATCTAGATCCATCAACTGAATTATTTTTAAAAACATGACGGCTTGATTTTAAAATTATTTGAAGAAATTTTTGGATCGATAACAGACGTAATGGGACGGAGTGGTCTAGCGGTAGGGAGCTGGACTGCTAACCTGTCTCGAGTTCAAGTCAGTAGACCGTCCCTGTGTCAATCCAACTCTGATGGGTACCTAACTCACGTTAGGGAAAGTGAAGGCGACTGGGCATAGTGCTGACCACACTATCTCTTCATATGCCGAGGTCACAGAAGCAAGTGAACTCTACTTCACTTGCCTCAGAGACCGTCAGGTTTAAAAGGGAACCTAACAGACTCTTGAGGCGATGGCTTTGGACTTCAGTGACTCTTTATGATAAAGGGGCTACTGCCGTGTGGTTGTGGAGTCACACTGTTGCAATTTAAATTAATTTCAGCAGTTTTACATTTTCAAGAATACATTCTTTTGTAAATTGTTCGGAAAAAATTTATCATTGAATCGAGTTAGTATTGAACCAAATTCATTCATATTTTCAGTATTAAACGGGACGTAATTGAGAGATTTTAGATTTTAATTAAAAGGGAAGCTACTGAAGATATATTTTATAAGTCACCATAGCCTGTTTATTCCCCTTTCAAAAATGAAATATAACATGAAGTGTTTAATTGTGACGCCATTCTTTGGTTTGTGTCACTGTGTGTGTGTGGAGGGGGGGGGGGGTGCTGAGTTTAACCTTTGCAACAACTGGGGAGGACGGAGGGTATAAGACCCAAAAATGACGCTTCCGATAGATTCAAGGGTATGTTAAGAACGCGTTTGAGCTGAATTTAATGCGGACAAGCCTAGATGATGACAAGAGTACATGTAACGAGGAGGGGCTCTTTCAGATAGTTTTCTCCGGAAGGGGAGGGGGGCGGACAGTGGTGTAGCCAGGATCGTCTCAAATGGGGGGGGGGGGGTCCAGTTTTTACAAGGGAACAAACTTTCGATTTGCACCCCCCCTCAGACTTTATATATATATACCGAGGGGTCTATGGGGGGGGGGGGGGGGGTTATGACCCTCCTACCCCCCCCCCCCCGCCTACGCCACTGGGGGCGGAAACTAGTTAAAGTATAAATGTTCTATTAAAATTAATTAACTTTACAATTTCGTCCACGGGGGTGGGGGGGGGGGGGATGGAGTTACTTGGAGGGTGGGGTGTAGACACTGCCCACCCGTAGATGTACTTGAAACTTGGTAGGAACGCGCATGGTAAGAGGGATATTGAGAAGCAGGTAGACCAGAGGCGTAGCGACCCTTCCCGGCGCCCGGGGACATATGTACCCCCCCCCCCTCGCTACGCTACTGAGGTAGACCAGCCAATAGAACATTGTATCTGGGCAAAATTCTAAAGTTGACGGGTAGAAATCGGTACCAACAAACAGGCCAGAGATCAGTGGCTTAGGCAGGGGGGTTAGGGGGGGTCATAACCCCCCCCCCATAGACCCCTAGGTATATATATAAAGTATGAGGGGGGGGGTGCGAATCGAAAGTTTGAGGGGGGGGGTGCAAATCGAAAGTTTGAGGGGGGGGGCTGCAAATCGAGAGTTTGAGAGGGGGGGGGGGTGCAAATCGAGAGTTTGAGGGGGGGGGTGCAAATCGAAAGTTTGAGGGGGGTGGGGGTGCAAATCGAGAGTTTGAGGGGGGTGGGGGTGCAAATCGAGAGTTTGAGGGGGGTGGGGGTGCAAATCGAAAGTTTGAGGGGGGGGGGGTGCAAATCGAAAGTTTGAGGGGGGTGGGGGTGCAAATCGAGAGTTTGAGGGGGGGGGGGTGCAAATCGAGAGTTTGAGGGGGGGGTGCAAATCGAAAGTTTGTCCCCGGGAAAAATTGGAACCCCCCTTGAGACGATCCTGGCTACGCCACTGCCAGAGATCAACTAAAAAAAAAACAGTGTGTAATGTTTGTGCGCCTAAAAAAACAATAACGAATGGGCCTTTAACTATTTTGAACCTTATTTTGTGTTTTTGAAATATAACACAAAACATAACGTTTTATTTCATCCATGCAATATCAATCTTACGAAAAGGCAAACCATAACTTTGCTAAATAACAAAATTTTTTATTTAAAAGGACGGCCTACAATATATTCCAATGGATTAATGATGACTTTCATTACTTTGCTTGCTTAATATTTTCACTATCTCCATTTTTTCTTGTAAAGAAAAATATATAAAGTGAAAAGGAATGTTTATATTTTTAGTAAAAGTGTAGACCCATTATTTAAAGGGAGGTAAAACACCCTAGCTTTCATTATTTTTATGCTTATAAAAATGTTGATTGTTTCCCTTCCAAAGTTTAAAACTACGCACATGAGACAAAAGAAATGCAAATCCTGCAAATTAGATGAAAGACAGACACGAGCATTTAAAAAAAAAAATGGTATGCTAACTTTTATTAGATAATGTTTCTGTTTTTTTTTAATTTACAAGAAAGTCTTTAAATGATCTCCATAGGCAAAATATATTATCCGAGGAACAAACTTTTGGTTACCAAGAAAAAAAAAGTGGTGGTTACCATGGAAACATCCGCTGTATAAACGTAATCACGACAACTCTTTGTTTAACGCTGTTTTAACACACAAACATACAGTGACGGAGTTCAATGCCTCGTGAGGAATTCGGATTTTAGCCGCTGCGACAGAAACATTGCTGAATAAAAGCAAATTCTAACACATACCCTTAGTAAAAATGTGCCACCCGGGGCAAGCACCCCACCGCACCACCTTTGCTACGCCACTGTGGTTAAACTATAGTCAAATGACAAGACACGGAAAGGGTACTTTTCCAATAATAAGTATACATTCAAAATATGGCAGTGATATATTAACAAATGGCATTTTTCTTTAAGTTACTGCTAGACACAAACGGGCACTAGTTACACTCCCTCCACTCTTCCACCCTCACTATATACACTAACAAATATATACATGGCGGGCAGTGTTTCTTCCAGACTTTTTTCTCCGGGGGGGGGGGGAAGGGGGCACTTAAAATCTTCGGGGGGGGGGGGGGATAGACTAAAATTTCCGGGGCCCGGGGCGGGAGGGGGCGGACACTGTTAAAAGTATATATTTTCTATATAAATTCCATTTCGTTCGGGGGTGGGGAGAGGGGGGGTAGACTCTTTGGGGGGGGGGGGGAGGCTTACCCCCCGAAGAGATGCATGCAAGAAACTCAGATGGGGGGGTCCATCCATAAATGACATTACACTTTTTAAAGAAACAACTTTACCCCCCTCCCCCTCCGTCACACTTCATAAAAGAAGCCAGATCTCCCTAAAGTGACGTCACACCTTAGCCTACACCCCCCACCTAAAAATTGAAGTAACATTGTTTTGTTAAACATCGAATTCTTTCTAAAATATTGAATCTGCTCGATCAACATTGAGAATCACACTAATTAATTTCTGTGACAATTTACTAAAACATTTTTCATAAACACAAAATAGCGGCTAAAATTCAGCTTTAAATGCAAAAGTGTGACATCATACATTCTGAAACATTTTACCCCCTCACCACACATCGTCACAAAATAACGAGCCTTCTTCTCCCACCCCCTCCCCTCCTCCCCCAGTAGTTTGTATTCAATTATGGATGCCTCCTAATTTTTTTAAAATAATTCTTTTTTCAATAATTTTCAATACCGCTTTGTAGCCTACCTACTCTATCGTACTATCGAACTCTTAAACAAAAGGAACTCTTCATATTGAGAATCCCAATTTTGAAACACGCGCCTTTCTTTACACGATTGTCCCCCTTTTAAACTCAAGTACAACACTGGAGTGGTCGTCCTTTAATATGCCCCTGCTACGTGCCTTTGTGAGCATGTTTCAGCACAAAGACAGGATAATACGCAAGGCGGTCAAAACAAAAATAGACGCGGACAAAATACCTCATTATGTTTGTTTTCTGCGGTTCTAAGTGGGAGGGCTAAGTGCACATCCGGTAAGGTAACTCCAAAAGTTTTTTTGTCAGACTGATTAAGGTTCTTGGCACTTCCACAATCTGCGTTTGGCGCTGGCGGTACGCAGATCTGTGTGTGTGTGTGTGTGTGTGAGTGTGTGTGTGTGAGTGTGTGTGTGTGAGTGTGTGTGTGTGAGTGTGTGTGTATGCTTTTGGTGGAGAGAGAGATAAAGAAAGAAATGTGACAAAAAAAATTACGATGGCTACTACAGGAAGGGAAAAGAAGGCGGCATAGTTTATGATGGTCAGAGGTGGGTTATCTATGTGCAACAGTGGGAAAGGTTGATGGTGGTCAAATGTGGGTTATCTACATACAACAGTGGACAGGTTGCTGGTCAAAGGGGGGTTCTCTTTGTGCAACAGTGAGAAAGGCTGATGATCAAAGGTGGGTTATCTACATACAACAGTGGGAAAGGTTGATGGTCAAAGGTGGGTTATCTATGTGCAACAGTGGAAAGGCTGATGGTCAAAGGTGGGTTATCTACATACAACAGTGGGAAAGGTTGATGGTCAAAGGTG